CCCCGTGCCCGTGGGAGCACTCGCTGTGTTTGAGGCTCTGAAGAAACCTGACAGAATCACAGGACGGGCGGGTTGGAAGGGGCCTCAGGAGATCAGCGAGTCCGACCCCTGCCAAAGCAGGTTCCCTACAGCAGGTGGCACAGGAAATGTCCAGGCGGGTTTTGAACATCTCCAGAGATGGAGACTCCACAGCCTCTCGGGGCATCCTGTGCCAGTGCTCTGACCGTGGTTCTGCTCTCGGGGAATGAAGAATTAAACTGCTCACGAGTCCAAGCACTGTCTGTAATGGCAAAGGAGATCCCTAATACCTCTTTAGCAAGAGAAAGATATGAATGGGTATAAGCTTGCATTACAAATGATGAAAATGCTCTTTTCTAACCTGAAATTAATTTTAATAATTTCTTGATGGTGACAAGTCTCAGGAACATTGCTCATTGTTGTGCTCTTGAATGAGTATAGCTGTCATTCTTTGTTAAAAATTTGAAAAAAAATCCTTTTTATGAACTACTTTATTACATTTAGCTGTATGTGTCGACACTTAAAATAGTCCCGATAAAACGGCTGGAGATCCTGTGGCCATGAGCTTTAAAGCCCCACTGTACTTGCTGTCTCATCATGACACGGTCTGAAATGGTCATCAGAAGAACTGTTGTTTTGGCTGGTTATTGGTATGTAGTGGCACTGTTTATACTCTAGAAATTGGCTGATTACACATTAGCCATGCACAAATGGTGAGAAAGGTGACTGAGAGGATGATGTAATAAGAAGGAAGAATTCATCATACTTTTATTTAGTTGCCATGTGGTAATAACTTCTTTATTTGACCTGGTTGCTTATTACAGTATTCTGTGATCTGTGTGAGGTAGGGCTAGATTCTGTATCAAAGAGATAGCTGTAGCATAATGGGCACCCTTGTGTGAGTAGTTACTGGAGGGTTGTTAAATAGAGAGTGGCCAGTGTGCATAACTAATCAGTTAAGGCATTTAAATAATTTGTTTACAGAGAAATCTACATCTAAACATCTGTCTGCCTGCTTTACAGAATTGCTGGAATTCCAAAAGCAAATAATTGGCATTAATTATGAGAAATAAATTTGCTCTCAACTCTATTTGGTGTAGTCAATCTGTGTATAGCTCTCAGTGACAGGATGTAAGCTAAAATTTTGCAAACAATGAACCCTCACATGTTTTGGGAGGAGTTTTGGGATGTAACTGTATTTGGAAAAGCTGGTCAAAGCAGTCAAGTGTGCTGCACCTCACACGAGTTGAGGGCAAAGGAGTGTTGCACTTTGGAGGCAGAGGCGTGTGCATACTAAGTGCAGTAGAAATAAAAAGTTTGAGATTTGCAAAGTAGCAATATATAGAATATACATATTTAGCACCATCCCACTTCCCCTCAGAAAGGAAAAGATAGCGTTAAAAGTTGCATCAAAATAGGCTGAAGAGTTCTAGCATTGTGGATATTGGGGGGGGGCGGGGAGCAGGGGTGCAAGGGAGGAGGAAGGTCAATTGTTGCCTTTTGGCTGTTATTTTTTTTTCATGCCATTTTAAATGACTGGAAAAGAATGTATAACATTTATGTTCACAAAATATTGTTGCTGTATTATGTCTTAAACTTTGTGATATCCAGTTTTATGGGGGGAGGTTGGCTTCTAGTTTGTGCATGGTATTATTTGCTCCCTGAACTTATGTTAGGTGTCACAGGAAATTGCTATTTCATGGTACAAAAAGTAGGTATCCACATAGATACAAAATATATTGCTAAAATTGAAATAAAGCAGCAGCTTATGAAAGTGCTCCTACCTGTGCCAGGTACCAGTCTTGACAGTACATTTACTTAGCCTGCGGGTAACAACTCCTGAGATGTATCAGAGGGAAGCTAGAGCATTGGTACAGCTGAAGCACTGGTACAATATACAGTTAATTAGTTGATTTAGACTTAATAGTTATGCCTCACTATAGTAAAGAAAATCCTGTACCAGAATCCTAGTCAAGTTTATTTTGCATCTCTGGATGCAGGAAAAAAGCAAATGTGAGACAGGACTTGAAGGTTCCCTCTTCAGTAATGACAGACTTAAAAGCATTAGTGGTTTGGTACCGTGGAATAGGTAGGCAGTAAATGAGAAGGGTCAGATGCATCTTTGAAAGAGAAGTGATTAACATAATGAGTACTTAGTGACTGATTGTATAGTCTCACTTCTAACATTGCCACAGCACATATGCTATTTGACTACATTTTAACTTGAGTCTCTGTGCAAAATAACCAACCCACCCCACACCCTAGTTCTTGCTTGTTAGCATTGTTCTTGCCTGCGAAGATGGCATTGGTCTGAGAAGTAAATGAAGTACATTACTTGTATTACTGCTAACAGTCTTTGTGAGAGAGGAGAGGAAAACATGTAAGGAAACTAGTTTGAACAAGTTTCAGATGGAAGCTATGAAGGAAGTATCTGCTGTGGTTGAGGGAATGGTATTGTTAGTTAGCCTGCTCGTCTGCCCTACAGGTCTGAGTCATTGTGTGTCTGTGCTGTAATGTACCTTCATTTCAGTATGAAAAAATATTTTGTAGGTGCGGGACTGCATTCAGAAAACGCTGACTGAATGGAGCTCAAAGATTGGACAAGATCTTAACCAGGTAGGAGAGGTTTTATGCATGTTATCCATGTTACACATGAAAACAGAGAAATATGTAGTTGGTTACACCTTTAAACCAGAAATGAATCTATTAAGTGTCTGTAAAAGTATCTGCAGCTTCATATATCTTGAGAGTATTTCTCAACCCCCCGCCCCCCTTTTTTTAATATTTAGTAGATTTGGAGAGGTTAAGAAATACCACAGTGAAGAATCCTGTTCTTGGCAAAGAAGACAATTCTTAGCAAAATAAAAGTCCTGGGCTGTAAGATTTCAGGTTAATTGTTGGGGTGATCACCAAAAAAAAATGTACCTTAGAAGTTTGCTAGCATGCTTGTAAAAACTCAATGGAGAATTATCTAAACTATGGAGATGATAAACTAGATAGCTGAAGATCATCCCATTTGGTGGGGAACTTTGGAGCATAGCCTTGGTTGTCTCAAATATTTCTGAAGATGCAGAAATGGCAGTTTTTCCTTTAATAGCTAAAGACTTCCATGTAATTCTTAAAACCACAGTCATGGGCATCTGACATCAAGATCTTGGTGTATTTGCCTGCTTCTCTTTCACTACTGCTTCTGAAATTCAGCAAAGCAGTAATGGGTTCCCACTAAATACGTTGCTCTGTGGAACATTATTGTGCTTCATTGGGAAAAAAAAATTTTAAAAAAATAAATAAATAAACCCCCCACACACAACAGACTCCTAATGGTTTCTTTGGGTTTTGTTACCAGTTCTTGTGTAATGGTGGCATCAGCTGCACATTGCTGCTTTCCCCACTAGAGTGTGGTGAGGCAGTTACTGCTGAATGATTTGTGGAAGATCTAATGATTGGTCAAGGAGAGAACATAAACATTTGTCTCTGTAAGATGTAGTGATCCATTTAAAGTTAATTATTTAGTGTAAGCATGGTTTTACTGTTAAAACATGTTAAAAATGCGTATTTCAAAATTCTTTGATCAATTCTATTGGTTTCCAGTAATTACAATAACACTTTTGTTTACAGCGTTGACTGTATGGAATAACTTGAAGACTCACTTGAGGATTTTTTTGGTAGGGCAGCAAAAATTACCACAGAGTTCTTGGTTGGCGGTGGGATGGTATATATGTATAATACAAAATCTCATGTAGGTAAAGCGTTAAAAGTCACCTTGTACCAACTGACATGAGATGTCAGCCTGGTCTTAATTGAGGACAGAGGATGAAATCTCTGAAACTTTCCTAATTTTTAGTTTCAAAATTATTGTTTTAAATCTGTGTTTTACCGTATTTTGTGTTAGGCTTCATTGAAATTACAAAATACTTCTATGCAAAGATGTTTCACTCATTCTGATAGTGAGGTTTTTTTCAGCTGGGCATGAGGCCTTTTTTTTTTTTTTTTTTTTTAAAGCAAGGCAGTTTGAATTGGCACAGCAATCTATTCACATCAGAAGGTCAGAAAACTACTAAATCTTACTCCAGTAATTCTTACAAATGATTAGTATTTTTTATTTTAGGGGTGTATAGGACCTTTCATAGACCTTTATTTTCCTGTCCTCCCCTCAGAGATCAAGAAGCATTGCATTACTTTCTGTCACTGCATGTTTATACTATTTTTGTTCTTAACTGCTATGAGACTTTTTTTTTTCATTACTAAAAATTACTTCAGAAACTTACTGTCTCCTCTTGGCAAGTTGTTCCTAAGTCTCATGTACTTACTACAGGAAATAACGGAGGTTCTGGAGTGTACTGTAGCTCAAGCTATAGAAAAAATAAATCCTGAAGAAAGGGATGAGCTGAAAGTATCAGGTAAGAACATAGTCAAAAATCTGGTGGCATAAAAAGGTTTTATATGCAGTTATTGATAAGATGTTAATATATGTATATTTTTTCCACTGTGTTTTGTAATTGCAAAGTCAAATGACATCAGTGCACACTGTCGTACTTTGGGTAATGTAGAAGTTGGCTAAGAAAGACTTGAATTCATATTTCAGGTTCTAAAGCAGCTCAGCATTTTTCTAGTTTAACTTGTATCCCTTGAGGACATTTTAAATTTATTTTGTGAATCTTTTACTTTTCTGAAGCAAAATATTACAGATAATACTGTAATTAAGAAATAGCATTGGAAGCACATTTATTTGCATAATTTTTCCAGGTTGAATATGATGAACTTGAAGGAGGCAGTCCAAACTAACACTAGTACATTTTGAGTCTCAGTAAGTTGTGAAGAGGTCTGTTTGTACTGTTATGTTTGGGGTCTTTATACAGGTTGTTATGGTTACTACTTAGTGTCTTGATGCTTAAATCCTAGCTTTACAGCTTATTGGATCATCTAGCTGGATGATTTCTTGTTCTGAGACTGTATAACAGCTTTGAAATTTAAGAGAACAGTGTCTTTTTTGGGCAGTCACCTTTCAGGAGGGGTTTTTTCCAATTTTTGAAGTAATTGGTGTATATTCTAAGAACCCTTTACCCTTGAACTTGTAAGTTGTGTATATAGCAAAAGTAAATAGCTTTATATTTAATAGCTGGCTTGTTTAGATATTGATTCCAGTTTCTTTGAAAATAGCAAAACTTTTCATCATTGGATCAAACTCTTCATCAATCAGAGATGCTGTTGACATGGGTAAGTGTGAAATTCAAATTTCTGGTAAAGTTTCCTTTTTACTTGAATATTTAGAAATATATTTAGAACCTTTTTTATCTAAGACATGTATTTAGTGACTGTGACAAGTATATCCCGTTGTTCTCTGAAGAGGGACTTAGGTAATCAGATCTATTTACATGTTAGTTCAGTCAGTAAACTTATTAAATGGGGATTGCTGTAACCTTGGGTCCACAAACTCAAATCTGATTCTTTGCTCCCAAGTTGGAGCAAGTTTTTATCCTTTCACACAGAATTTGTTAAGCAGTGAATAGCATGTGAAGTTTCAGTAATGATTCTACAATACTTACTGGTTTTTAGTTGCCAGTTGTTTTTAATGTGATGAACTTTGCTACTAGCTGAGCCATATTTCAGAGATTATGTAGGAACTAAAACAATATTGCAAGCAGCTGATGAAATAGTTAAGCCTTGTTGAAAATAGAATAAAATGGCTATAGTGATATGTAAAGATTTGTTAGTTTAAGGTAGCAGTAATTGTGAGCAACACTGCACTTTACCACTTTGGAAGCATAGTTGGGCATAAAGGGTTACCAAAGAACAGTGGTTCAGATACCTTTTTTTTTTTTTTTTTCTATTGATACCTCAGTTAATATCCTCTTTTGTAAGTTGTAGTACCATTTGTTAAAATACATTCATAGAATCCTTCTCTGGAAGACAATAATTTATTTAGTGACTTGGTTTTAATCTTTTTGCTGTGCAGAAGAGGCCTCATGACTTGTGTCTTTCCTAAAGCTCAGTGACACTCCAAGACTTGCTACTTCTCTCTGGCAATTTAAATCTCCATATTTGGTGTGCTTTTCATCTAAATCATCACATATATCAAATAGTTCTCCTAGTCCATGCTCTGTACTTGGGCTATAGTTCAGGGTGAAAGCTAGGAATTTTGAAAGAAATTGAGAGTGAAGCAACCAAGAATTGTATGACACCACTGTCTTCAGGGTAATATACCTTTTTAACATTAAAAAGGAAAAAAAAAAGCTTCACATTTTTGTTTGGTGGTGGGTTTTTTGCTGTTTGGGTTCACCCACCCTACAATTGAAGCTTGACCTTCAACTGTATGTTTGATTCTTTACTAAAAACATTGTGTTACTATCCTTGACTGCTGATAGACTCAAGATTTTCAAATGGTGAATGGGAAGCTAGCAGAGTGAAGCAAGAGGTGTGGGTTTTTGCTGAATTTGAAAAGTCATACTGCTTATGTTTGTGTCTCACAAAAGATTTTGCAGTCTCTCTGTTCTTTTCCCTCAGCATGTTCTGCCCTTGGAGTTGCTCAGTTAGACTCCGTCATTATTGCTCCACCTCCCGTTGAAGATGGAACTACCCTCTCCTTGGAGTATTTGCAACCTTATTGGCAAGAACTTGAAAATCTAGTACAAAACAAAAAGATTGTTGCCATAGGTACCTCTGACCTAGATAAAACACTGTTAGAGCAGTTGTATCTGTGGGCACAGGTGAGAACAAACTTCCTACTTGTAGCATTTCTAGGGCAGGGTAACTGTTTTGTTGGCTGCCACATCAACTTCTTGGAAACTTTTCTTATAAATGGATTTATATACAAAATATTAATTAGCCCTGTTATTTTCAGCATCTTATGGATGGTCACAACATTGTTCAAGGTAGGGGAGGCTCAAAGTGTGATTGTCAGTTGTTCGGTGTTCTTATGTACAGGCCAGCAAAGGCTGGAAACCACAGGTCTGTTCAGTATCAGGTTCTTTGAAGTAGTTAAGGCTTAAGTTTTAAATGCTCTTACTTTTAGAAAGGGATATAAACAGTACTCTTCAACCTTCAGATTTATTCCAGTGACTGTGAAAACATAGCTGTTTTCACATTAAGCTGTGTTACAAATGGAGGAATTTCCCCTTACAAAAATGCTGTATGAGCGTGAAGCTTAAATGTAAAGAGGAGGACAGGGTATGAATCAAGTGGCACAATATTTTATTGTCCAGTGTGACTAATTGCCTCTTGTAACATTTAAGTGGTGGAGGTCTGTACTGGTATGTTCCCGTGCTCATATAAGCTTGTAGATTTACTGTTTCCTTTTTAGTTCTTTGAATACTTCTCTTAAGGTATTTCTTTTATGGTATGTGAACACACTGTATCCATATAAGAAGTCCTGCTGAGAGCTGGGATCTGTGCTTTTCACTATTTTGTGCATACTGAGAGGAGGAAAATTGAAGGCATTAATGACCCCCTGCATGATGAACATGGTTGCAGTTTGTGATGAGCAGAGGGTCAGTGGAAGAGTCCCTGTTAACTTAATCTGATCCAGGCACTTCCCTGAAGGCATGTAAAAATACAAATTATAAATCCTTAACAAAAATTATTTGGAATTTTTTAAAGTCTTTTTCAAACTAACACCCATATAATATTTTCACTATCATCTGCTGCTGTTCAGGAAGCACAGCAGACAGGCCAAATGTGTTAGGACACATCTTGCTGTGGCAGCACCTTAAGTTAGATCCTATTCTTGTTTTGGGCTCTGTGCTGCAGGAAATTGCAGTATGTAGGAGTTGCCTGTTCATCATCATGCAGAATTAATTAGTCTTGTTCAGACCTCAAAACAATGGTTAAAGGCAAATTGTTGAAAGCAAAATTTGTGTTGTAATAGAGGGCATGGGGGAAACAACTAAAATAAGTACATTAGTATTTTTATTCTCATAAAAGTGTTCTGTTACTTTCAGGTGAAACCAAGTAGTAATCAGGTGAACCTAGCTTCCTGTTGTGTGATGCCACCTGATCTCACAGCATTTGCAAAACAGTTTGATATACAGCTGTTAACTCACAATGACCCAAAAGGTAAGGCTTTGCCAGATAAGTTAACAGAAGATTTCTAAATGCATTTAATCAATACCAAATCAGGTATAATCTTTCTCTGAACTTCAGACTTCATTATATTTGAATCCTGAGCAAAGTATTCTGAAAGTTTCGACTCTATAAAGTATTTCTATTAAGTTATTGCTTTTGCTTCAAGATAAGAGGGAAAAGGCAGTCTTCCAACCTTGGATAGTTTTCTTGAAATCATTTTAATCAGATAAAATAAATAGAAGAACAAACTAAGAAATTTGTACTACATGTGTTGAAAAATGAGCTTATTTCAGTGAAACATAATGAAATTACAGCTGTATTTCTGAAGGCCAGTAAATGACAAATGAAAGTCCACTCGCCCAGAACTTGTCTGTGAAATAGCTTGCATAGAAATGTTGATGGTGAGTTGATTTTTGAGTAGTTTGGTAATGTTAGATATAAAAAATGAATACATTTTAAGCAGGATTATTTCAAAGTAGTGACTTCTTAAAATAACATTATTACAAAAAGAGTTGGTGTAAATTTTTTACTTGTTTCTTGCAGAGATTCGTTTATTAAATGATTGAAGGACTTGGAGACTTTCCTTTAGACTCTGGAACTTTGAGTTACCAGCTCCCTAGAATGTTCTGGGATATTATATTAGTTTCTCTCAAACATCATCTAATCTTCTTTGTTGTAATGATGCCTTAAATATCTTGCTGGAATTGTAAGCGAGAAGTCCTAAACAATACTTAGTTCATTCCTTCCCTACATTCTTCCTTATGATCAGCTATTCATTATGATCATAACTTTCCTTCTCCTTTCATCCCATTCACTGCTCAAAGAAAAAAAAGTATTTGTGAAGCACATGTTATAACCACTGTCACAGCTAATGAATTTCACCAGTGTTGGAGCACATATCAGCACTGATCTGGCAGCATACAAGATGAATTGCCATTCCATCTGACAGTTTCTATGTCTTATGAAGTCCAAAGTGCAATCTGCAGTTTAGTAAATGCTTTCTATTGAGAGTCATGAAATGAAGAAGAGGATTTGTATAGAAAACAAAGCAAGGAATGATTCCCTTATGCATTGTTGGCTAAGCTTAACTTATCTGTAATGGTCAGCTGAAAAGTATGGAGACTATCTGTTGGGAACACTCATCGTCAAAGAGTTTGTTCCCTTGACTGACTTCCCAGAGGAAACTAGGATTTGTACTTGCCTTCCTTTTCTGCTTTGTGGCATTTAAGCCTATTTTTCTTAATGCTTTCTGAACTTGTGGCTATTATCAGCCTAGTTATGAGAGATTTGCTGATTTCATCCTTATGCTTTACTCACCTCTGGTTTGTCTAGCTAGCTTCTCAAATTTAATTTTATTTTTTTCCTCTTATGGATCTGCTGATCAGCTCCATTTGATACTCTCAGTTAATTAGTTTTGTGGGAAATACTTAATATTGCAAAAAAAAAAAAAAAAGTGCCCTGAAGACTTCTTCTGTAATATTCATCTGCTTTTACACTATGTGCATTCCAGAAGAGTGGATCTGTGGAGCACTTGGCACTGCTTAAGATTTTTGTCTGTAGGAAAAGGCTTCTTTTACTGTATGTTTGTTGCTTTTTGCAGCTGTTTACATGACATTATTTAAAGCATGAATATCCTTTTTTAACTTCAGAATTACTTTGTGAAGCAAGTTTCCAAGAAGTTCTTCAGGAAAGCATCCAGAACACGAAAGTACATGAGTGGATTCCTTTATGGCTTCTCCGGTATTCAGTAATTGTTAAAAGCAGAGGAATTATCAAGTCCAAAGGCTATATCATGCAAGCTAAAAGAAATGCCTCTTAAAACACTTCTTCTTTCCTTTTTTTTTTAAGTGGCTTACTGTTTTACTTTCTTGGAGATGGAGGGAACATTGTTTTTTTTCATAGAAACACTTTACAGCATTTGTAACAAAGACCAAAAGTTGTAATTATTCCCTGTGTGTCAGCAGGAGTGTCTGCAGTGTTCTAACACTATTTTTCTTTCTTAACCTATTGACCAGTTCATTTAAAATATGAAATATTTGGTTTGTTGTTTTTAATTGAAATTATCTATAGAGAAAGTTTAAAATATTTTTCTTTGTATGACCAGTTCACTGTAAAATTATATTTTAGCTGCCATTAGGTAGTATAGAGAAACTTGTATATTTTTATTTTTTAAAAAACGAATTTATCTTAAATAATAATTGCTTATCTGGTAGGTACATAGTTTTCAAGCATTCAAGGACTAGTTTTTATAGAAAATAGACATCTTTTATGAAAAATTACCCTAAAAAATAAACCGGTAATCTCATTTCTTGGTATGTATATATAGGCAAGTCAGCTGTTTAATTTGTGTGGATGGGAAAATTGGTTTATTTTTAGTATAGTGTAAAAGACCTCTATGATTTAGGAAAACTGCATCTTTCAAATTACTTTCTGACTGTTACTTGAATTACTTCTGGCTTCTTTGTGCCTCAATATGCTTTGTTTAGTTTTTGCACAAGTGTGATGGCATGTTTACTGTTTGAAATAGAAAATGTATTATCGTGTGAATGTTTAAAATAAGAAAACAAGTTACAAAAAAATCTGTTAATCAGAAATTGAATTTTGCCCATCTTCTCAACTGTGGCATGTTTTTTTTACGTTTGTGAACTACACAATTGGAATGAGCCAAGTCAGAACATGTAGTAAGTGTTGAAGCTCTTCACTATAGGATTGTGTAAAATGGATCACTTCTTTTGAGGTTGCCTAGGAAACTTGGTTGCTTGAGTGCCATTCAGAAATGATGCAGGCAGGGTTGGCTTGAAGCTAGGTATATTTCTGTTTGGCAGTAGCTTAGTGCACTGGCTTTTGAATCCTAGAAAGATTGCTGCAGCTGAGGCAAGGCTTCTGGTTTAATGTAGTCTTTCTGTTGAAAAGGCCTTTGTATTTCCTTGGCCTTTAAATCAGAAGAGTTAGCAAAAGCTCAATTTGTAGTTCAGTGGGAGCTTGATACTGAGTGTCTAAAATACTCATTTGCCTTTTGATTCCAGGCAGGAGCAGAGCTTCATACTGGTAGTACTCATTAACTGAGCTGTACATATTTTGAGATTTGGACTGTCAGGGAATGAATTTCACCAGCATCTTTCACATTCTGTTGTGCAGGCAGCTAGCGGAATTTGAATGCTTACAGGCAGTGTCTAGAGTGTCAGCTTCCTATTATCCATTCCACTAAGTTAAGAGGGATATTTTTCAAGATGCCTTTTGAGTCCTCAAATATCTTACCTGTACATGGCAAATACTGGGAAATTCTCCCAGACTGCTTCAGTTCTTGATAAATGAGCGGGGGGGAACTGGAACTAGTATTGCATCAATAAAAGTTTGATTTATTTTTTTTTCTCCTAATCAAAATGTAGTCTTTTTTTGTGTGTGCTGGGTCAGTGTGTATCATGTGAGTGCATTTTAAACTTCCAGCTTTGAATTGTGTGCTGCTGGTCATTATCCACTATCTGTAAATTCTGTCTGTGTTTGGATGTTGACATTCTGTATTGTATTAGACTGGCATGTCTGCTCAGTTTTATAAATTGAAATGCTGCAAAACAAGAACTGTGCTAAAACAGTGTATGGACTGCTCTAATGGGATAATTATTTATTTCCTTTCTGTAAACTGTTAACAGTTTGCTTGCTGTGGAAGAGTATGCTTTAAGACATTATAATCTTATTTTTTCTAGAGTCACTGATAGCATAACACCTTATTGGGTTATGTTTTGTGTCAAAGTGGGAGAGATGAAATTTCCTTCCATGAGAAAATTGAACGTTTGAATTAAAGTGTGAAATTCTTGTAGGCTTTTAATTTGTGCTTCGTACACATTCTCATCATCTCCTTAAGTCTTTTACACTTGCTCATAAAATGGTCTTCAGCGTCCTCCCCGCTGGGGTCCCGTCATCTCACGGCAGATACGCCCCTCTCCCCTCAGCGGGCCCCTGCAGCACCGAGTGCCGCTTTCCCCTGCGCCCCGCACCGCCCCGTTTTACCCTTA